ATCCCACGGCAAAATGAAGGCACTGCTGGGTATTTGTGTTCTGACTGCTTTTTCCTTCTTTCCATGATGTCAAGTAACAGAGTGGGCTTGATCTTCTGTATTTAGAAGGGAAAATCAACATTGAATTCAACAGAATTCTGATAATTTCTGACATAGTATTTCTGCTTTGTTAATTGTAATGGTTTGTGATTAACTTCATTTGCTGTAGGCATGTGTGTGTGGGAAGATCTCACAGACATTCCTCCCCTACTGAGGATGGGTGGGTGGTCAGTTCAGACCTGAGGTAACTCAGTGAATGGATGCCCATAAACAAAACCCTGAGCTCCTGCACCACAGGTGGGCACCAGTGGGGAATTGTGCTGGTGCTGGGTGTCAAATTGGCACAGCCTGTGGAGAGAGAAGGAGCTTTCTCCTCATTGTAAGGAGAAGCATCACTCAACCCAACTTCAACTGCCTGCATTTTTGTTTATGCTTGGAAGAGAACAACCCCCAAAGCAAACTGTATGAAACTGAGATGGTTTCAGCCCTGTGGGATGTTTGGGGGCTCGCAAGCAGACAGCTGCAGGGAACAGTCTCACAGCATTGCTGATGCTCTGCTGAGCACGGTGTGGTGGGCACACTGCTAGTGCTGCGGGGAGACCAGGGAGCAGCAGGGCTGGGACTGTGGAGCCCACGAGCCATGGTGCCCGTGGTTCATTGTGTCCACTGCTGGGCTGGCCCACTGGGTGCACAGCCACACACGGCCCTGACTGCTGCCAGCAGTGGCTCAGTGCCTTGAGGGGCTGCAGGAGGAGATGCTGGGGGCTGTGGGTCATAGGAAGCTGGCAGGAGCTCCCATTGCCAGGCTGGTCGGCCGTCCCAGGCTGTGTGTGGTGGTGCTGGCTGGGGCTCTGAGCGGTGATGGGCATTTGCAGCCCCCAGCTGACCCCCAGGGCCCTGTGACTGATGTTCTGGGGGTGCAGGAGATGCTCTGGGAAATGGGGACCTGCTGGACCCCCCCCTCCTGCTGCGCTCTGTGACATTTGTTTCCATCTGCCTGTGCTGCTCTTGCTCTGTTACATGGTGCCTTGCCTCGGAGCTTGAATTATTGCCTACATGCATGGGTAGAGCCTTTGGAAAACAACTGAGCATGTAATTAAGAGAGTCAGTGTGTTTTATGGGGATAGTGACGAAAGGAAACAGCTTTTCACTTTAGTAATTGTGAGTGCCTGTCAGAAGAGATTTGTGGCAGAGGGAGGTCAGTGGGAAGAGAGCTCCCACTGCACAGAGTGGGCTTCTTCCTCGAGTGGTGGAGCTGCTCGTTGTTTATCAGCCTTCCATCTGAATTCATCAGACCCGTTGCAGATGCAGTGTGTGCAGTGGCTGGGTGCTCTCCGGGCACACGCAGCCTGCTTTGCAATCTGAGCTCACAAAGCCCCCGAACCCCACAGGCCTTTCTGGGTGGGAGGGTGTCAGCGGGCTGCGCGCAGCCTGGGGTCTGGTGCCAGCTCACTTCTGTGAGAGCAAATTGCCATTGCTCAGAGGCCTGGGTGCTTTGGGACAGGAAGGGCAAGGGAGGATTTTGCTGATACTCGCATTGTTGCGCTCTGCAGATACTTCTAATCAAGCAGCACATTAATGTATCTCTTGTTTTCCAGTAAGTCATTAGTCGCTTAAGTGAAGTTGCTCATGTCAGTTTTCCCTTTCATTAAATATTCATATTTACTAATGGAAATTGTCTTGACAAATTGGTCAAACTGAGCAACTTAGGAATTTATGCCGCGGACTAAAAAAGTTGTTTGGAACTCCCAGTGAGCTGAAGTAATGCTTGAAATCATTAACACTTCATTGATTTTATAATTAAAAATCCGTAGAGTAAATAAAGCATCCTTTAAATGTGGCATAGCTGTTTATCTCAATGCTTAGTATTAATATTCATTTTTTTTTCCTGCGAATATCCATGAAGTTCTGAAGGCCCTTCTGCTGTCCCTATGGGTGCTCTGGCAGCTCCTGGTGCTCCCCAGTGAAGGAAATGGCTCTGCAAAGCTGGCTGGCTGAGCTAAGACAGAGTTAGCACTGCTTGGGGCCACAGTAACCAGTATTCATGAATGGACATCTACCTCCTCTAAGCAGGCCGATGTGGCCGAAGGCTTATGGTGAAGTCAGATGGGAGTAATCATTTGTGGAGGCTAATTCAGCCCATTGACCAATAACTAACAGCCTATAACTAGTTTCACAGAGAATTATATTTTGATTTGCTGCCCCAAAGCGTGGCTGCTAGAGAGTCTGAAGGAGAGAAAGAAGCTCTTTAACGTAGACACTTTTTTTAAAGTCTGAACTTATTTTGGCAATAACTGGGCTGTTACAAAGACAAAATAAATAGAAGGGATTAAAGTCATCCTTCCATAAAGAATTTCATGCTTTGCATGGAAGCAGCTCCAGCTGGGTCAGCAGCTGTGATGCATCTTTAGAGCTGAGCCCACTGGCCGGTGGGGGCAAACGTCCACCCAGGGGCTCACAGCATCTGCCCCAGATGGCCGTCACAGCATGTGTGACCCAGCAGTGCTCTCTGTCTCTCACTCTGGCACACTGCTTGTGCTGAGCCCAGGCTGGCAGTGCTTGGTTTGCAGTCATCTAGAGCAAATGCACTTCTCCCATTACCCTCACTGTCTGCCTGTGCTGTTGCTCGGCCCAGGAAGGCGTTACAGGTAGATGGAGAGGCACAACCAGCCAGAGCACAGAGTTTGTTTAACTCAGCAACTTCAGATTTCTTGGGATAATGAGAGCCTTCTGCTGCTTCAATATCAATCTATTTTCTCTTCTAATTAGTCTTCATCTGCCTATACAATACACTCTAGTAGAGATTTCTCAGCAGTGAAGCCTGCGTGCAGAGAGCAGTACCAAGCAGCACAGAAGCACTTGGGAGAACAGTAACCTTGGAGCCCAGGACCTGCTGGCCACGCAAAGACCTGGCTGCAGCTGCGCTAACAGGATGGCATGCGACTCCAGTTCATCTGACTGCAAACATCCTATTTTTAGTATCCTTAACTATCACAGATTTAAGCAGGTTTCTGCCTGGTTTCAAAAGCAAGTATCAGAGCAGTGCTATTCTTATCTGCTCACAGAAGAACTCTTTGCTTCTAGTTGTTACTGAACGTGCAGTTTTGTGAAGGGAGATGGCACCTTTGGTGTGCTGTGAGCGTGGGGCTGCAGCCAGTGCCTGTGTGCAGTGGAAGCATCTCTGCCCCCCGCTTTGCATCCTTGGGGGGAGCACCTGCAGCCCCCTCTCTGCGTGCAGGCAATGAAGAGGAGTGAGCCGTGAGCCTGCGCAGCATTTTGCGGTCGGAGCACTTTGCCACCTGTGGCTGACAGCTCGGGAGGTTTGGCTGCTGGCAGCAATGCAGGGCTGCGATATGAGCTGCCTGAAATCCATGTGCCCGCAGCTGTGCAGATGTCCACGGGACTGGCATTTCCACTGAGCAGGAGTTTTTTCTTTAAGGAGTTCACATTTGATGCTGTTTAACATACGACTGGAGGGCAAAGCATTTAGCAGTGAGATGGATGATTATTGTTTTAAATGAGTTCACAATTATTTGATGAAGCGGAAAACAAAAAAATGTTTTTCTGGCATGTGATCTTTTCTGTGCTGTTTTTTTTTTTTTTCTGCCTGAGTTATGTTTTCTGTCAATGCTTCCAAGCACACACGTGCTGCTGTACCCCCATTTCGCTCCCGCTGTGCCCGAAGCTGCACTCCTGTGGGCCAGGTGGGAGCTCTGTGGGTGATGCTGTGTGCTATGGGAGCTCCCAGCTGAGCTGTGATGAGAGGAGAGCTCAGGAAACGTGCACTGAAAGAACAGGTTAGCCACGTGTGGCCGCGGCAATCCAGTTCTGTTCATGGGTTATTAAAAAAGGAGAAGGAGTTAAAATTAATTGAGTAAACGTTTCACTTAATAATTTATGTAAGAACTAATTGGCATAGTAATGCCTTCTAATGTGCTGTAAAAATTCACAGGATAATGCATTAGAAGTAAAAAGGTGGTTGGATGGTAATTAAGGTCTCTCTTCTTGCCACAATCTTCAGAAATTTTTTGCTGGTCTGCCCTGCTTTCGCCAGTAGTAAAGGTGATTTTTGGTTTCATGTATTTTCATCACATTTGAAGTATGTTGTAGGATTTCCATTTTGATTTGAGGTAATTTTGTTCCTTGTTTATGTGATTAATACTTCTTACTTAATATATTAAAGGCATAGTATGTATATAATATAAATACATTTTATATATATATATATATATAGCTTGTCTCTTTGTGCATTGCAGTGCACATACCTGGCACTCTGATGTCAAAGTAAAGTAAAGCACTGAAAAGGTGTTACTCCAAATGGGACTTTGTGCATTGCACACACAACGGAGTGGAAAATACAATGAAGCTGTAGGTTCTCTCATCAGCACACATGCTTCCCCACTGCTGAGAACAATACTGGAAATGATGAGGTGTGATAGGAACTTGAGCCAGCAGATGGGGAGGGAGGGAGGGAGCATTGCTGTGGTTGGTAATCTCTTCTGTGTTGTTGGGAGATAAGTTCTGGGTCCGCAGGGGATGTTAGTTTGCTGCTCTAGGATGCAGCATTGAGTTAATATCCTTAATTAATAGATTTAATTAGAAGCTTTAATATTCTAAGATAACCAGCTACATCTCCATGTAAATGAGTGTCACACCACCTAAATTGTAGAACACACTGATTTGAGAACGATTCTGGCTTTGTCAAAGGATTTGATTTCCTTAATGGTGATGACCCGTGAAGTGGCTGTGTGGGGGCTGTGTTTGCAGAGCTGCCCAGTGTGGGCTTCCATTGCTGTTCTGCACTCTTTGTAGGAAGCACTGCTCCCAGAAGTCAGCTGTGTGCGTGCCTTAGGAGCGCACCGAGCTCCTCTGGGGCACCTGGGATGTCTGTGGTTGGATGAGATGTTCGAATTTTGTGGGGGAAAGAAAACTTTCGCAGTTGCTCTCACCTGTTTTTCCAGAACCTTGAGAGCAGTGCATCTCTCTGAGGAAGAGCCCTGGCTCAATACCTGCGTTAAGGGGTAGCAGCACATCGATGGAACAGAGCTCTGCAGTCTAACACAGGAGCGGTGCGGTGGGAGCTGCCCTGAGCTGAAGCTGGGCCTCGTGCTTCTATCATCGACTGCAGGCAAGTGAGGTAATGTGGAAATAACAATCCACAGTGTGGGCTAAAAAACCCTTATGGAGAGGCTTTTTCTTGGACAAAAATCATCAGAGATAACAAACAACCCGTAGTGCGTATGCTAAAGGCGAGGCTGTTATCTTGCTGCAGATAAGTACTGAAAATACCTCTAAAGAACTTCTGTTTCATCTCCTCTAACTGCAGAGCCTGCTCTATCTAACCGTGGGTGAGAATCTAATGGATGTTCGCTGCTTTGGTGAGATGTTGGCTCTGGCTGTGCAGTGTACTTGGGAGCATTTCCAAGATAAAGATGCCAAAATTAAGTGCGATATTAAGCTGTAATTTCTGATATCTTTTAACAGGACACATCAGGATTTAATCTTCTTGATTAAATCAGAATTTTAAGGTCCCACAAGACTCAATACGGTCGTACATTCAGCATCCTATTTCTACGCATCACGCATATTCCCATGATTTGTCTTTGTTTCTCTCTGTCTCTGTTTTGTGGATCTTTAGAGAAAGTAGTTTGCTAAGCTTAGTTTAACTAGAACAATTCCCATTAAATAAAATTTGTTCTGGATAGAAATGTGTCAGAGAAGGTATTTATTGCAGTGGTTCTTATTTCAGGGTCTGTTAGCCACTAGAAATGTATACATGCTCTTCAGGGTATTTACCCAGGATTCTCATCTTGGCTGGCTGTTTCCTTACAAAAGGAAGAAAAATTTTCCGAGAAGAGACTGCACAATGAAAGAAGAGGTTCTACACTGTGGAGGAGCCTGTGGCAGAAAGCAGATGATGTTAAAGCAGATGGTTCCCTAAAGCTGGGTGGTCAGATCGGGTTAGGGCACTAACTGTCCTCCTAGTTGTCTTGGCGGTATCTTAGGGTGATCTGAGTTACCTAAATGAGGCATCAGCTCCCCCGCCGACCCTGCAGAGACCATAGTGGTATCAATCTCTATTTTAAGAAATAAAGAGTGAAATTCTGAACCTAATGATGCCAAGTTTATCTGTTTGTATTACTTAAAGCAAGGAGCTGAAGTGGTGGAGGGATCTGTAGAAAGTAAATTAAGGAAAGGCAAAGATGTGGGTTTTTGCCTAAAAGCTGAAAGCCTTGCTGAAGGCTTTGTTCCCTCTTTCATGAAGTTTCTCTCTGGTGGTTGTGGTGGCTGCAGGCAGCAATGAGGCTTCCAAGGAAATTGCTCTGAGATTCATTGGTTTACACATATGATTTTGGACAGTGCCCCAGGAAGGATCAGTTTTTATTGCTTTGCCCTGAGCTTGTTTATGAGTTCTTTTATAAGGTTTTGCCTCATAAAGGAAGATCAGTTAGAGATCGATGTTGCTGTGCTTTGTAGGTGCAGACCAGCCACTTCAAGTCTTCATCTGGTCCCATCTGAGTAAACTCAAACCAGAAGCTACGTGGGGACATCGTATGGCACCTGGAGTCGCACTCTGACTCAGAGCAGACTTTTTATGAAGTAACGTTGTGTTATTTCTCCTGCAGCAGGCGCGTTGCCGTGCTCTGGGTTCCATCACACTGTGAGGTGAAGCAGCTTTGTGCAGCCCTGGTGCAGCAGCCCTGCATCACCTCCTGGTAACCAAAGCCCCTGCCTGGCAGAGTGTGTGGAAAGCGTCAGGCCAGGCAAAAACAATGGATACGGAATGAAAGGTTTCACGTTTGTTGCTGGCATTAAATCGTGGGGTGCCTGATGAATGAACTTCGTATAAACGTTGAGGGCAATAGCAAACTCCCTTATGTGGATGATTAAGGAAATAATTGGAGCAGGGAGGTAGAGAAATGCAAGTCCAAAAAGCCTATTAAAGTCAAGATAGAGTGAGCAACTCCTTGTGATCGATCTAAACTCGGGAAAAAAACTACTGAGGTACTCTGTTCATCCAAGCCCCAGGTTTCCTAGGAGATGGAAGGCAGTTCAGAGATGGCTAATGACTGGGCTCTTACTGCTCAGCTAAAATAAGTTTCTCTGCCAGTCCCCAGATGCTCTGGGCTTCTCAGCTCCGCGATAATGAACACACCCAGCAGAAAGCAGGCAGTGCTGCTCCTGCCCGGCCTCGCTCCTGGAGGAGCTCAGTGTGTCGGGTCCAGGTCTGACCCGAGCTACAATTATCTGACAGCTCACGTTACGCTACATTGATTGTTTCTCCCCCAGTGACTAGAAGAGTTAATCTACTTCAGCAGTAACTTGATCAACACTTAAATCTTAAGAAAATAATAGAGAATTCAGGATAAGGGATAGGAAACTTCTCTCTAGATTAAGCCACTAAATGTCAGAGCTATGTAAGAGCTTTGTCTGGAGTAAATCGAGATGAAAACTATATGAAATTTCTTGCATGCTATCTGCTTTAAATTTAGTCAGCTCTTGCTGTTACCCAAAGCTAATAATCCTGGGCAACCTGAGTGCTCAGTGTGTGTTGGTCTGTTACTGGATCCAGCTGGATGTCACTCTGGAAGGGTGACCTGCACTCCGAGGAGCTCCGCTCAGCCGCTGGACACCACGTGCTCTCAGCATCACACAGCGGGCCCAGGATTTAGGCAGCTGTTGTACATCACTGCCTGAAATACAGGTATGAGATAGAAATAATTTGCTTAGCCTTAAAACGTTAGTTATTGTCACCGAAGTCTGGCCTGACATTAATGCTTTTAGTGCCAGAAGAGTGACAAGATGCTGTATCCAGATTCTGCTGAATCTTCTCATAGCAGCATGCCTGCCTGCCCTGGCACAGCTTTGCATGTGTGTACTTACACATAGCCAGGATTCCTGCAATGCATTTAAGTGCTCATCTTTCTGAAACCACAGGAAGCAAATAAGTGCCAAAAATTCATGCCGTATCCAAATGCTACTTTGGGTGGCTCGGGAGACCTAACAGCAAGTTATCTCTTTCAAACAACTGTGTGCTCCCTGGGACCAAAGCAGACACTTGGTTGGAGAGCTGTGTGTAACTGTTGGCTGATTTCATGTGATTTAGAGATTTCCTTTAGCTCTGTTATTAGCTTTTATGAGTCTTAATTGTGTAGTTTACTTGCAATACACAGTCTTTGATGTGCCAGAATATATCCTTAAATGTGCATATGTACTGAGCAAAATGGTATTTTTACTTCTTCTAAAACTGGGAGCGATGAGCTGGGGAATAGGTCCCAGCCCTGGCTGCAAGTATTTGATGGATCAATACAGACTTAATGGTTATTCTCTTCTGTATTCTGTGTCTGCTGCACTGATGCAACAGGTATCCTACATTCTGTACGATTTGCAGATATGATGTTAGTACTGTATTCTCTGTACTAGATTCACCTCTTGTTTTCTATTATTTCTTTCCCTCTTTCACTCCAATCTTTTCTTTCCCAACAGTAGGTATGTTTAAGGTAGCAGCAAACACAATTGTCAGGACGCCTTTGATAGCTGCTTGAGTCTCAGCTGTGTACGCTGATGAATGGCGCTGATATTGGACTCAATTTCTCTTGCTCTCAGTGCTGTAGGGCTTCGTGGTTTCCTCCGGCTGGGGTTGCTGGCTCTGCTCCTGTGCTGGAGCCATGGTTCTGGTGGCACCTCGGTGTCTCCTGGGGACACGGGTAGGAGCCAAACCAGGAACAGCACCCATGCAGACCTTGTGGTGGTACAGCTTACATAGATGGACAGCCTTTGCAAATTAAGTAGTGCCGTTCATCATAAATTTGTTGCAGAAATGCTCCTAGCCACAGGGAATTTGCGCTATGGCTTGAAGAGCAGCACGTCGTTCAGTGCCTAGAGTAACGGCTGTCTGCTCCCTGAGCTTAAAGATCATTATCCAGCACTCTCTCATTCAGCAGAACTTTTATGTCTAGCAAATTAAATTTCTGGGCAAAATAATTACATGTAAAGGCTGCTGGCTATTATTCACAAGGGGCCAATTTTCTCACCATTTGTTGGCATTTGAAATGTCAAATTTATGGCACTGTAATATATACAACATATAGTTCAAAAGTAGAATGTGAAAGGCTCCAGTCAAGTCTGCTGATGTAAATTCTGAAGATAGCTGGGCATCAGAGAGGGAAAATAAATTATCTAATTGAAGACAAATGGCTGCTTTATTCTGGATGCATTTGCTGTCTGTTCCCTGCCCTGAATGTTGCTGAGCTGCTGCTGCTGTGTGTGGCAGTGCCTGGCTCTGAGCTCTGCTCTGGGTTCCTCAAGGGAAGCCTGATGGTTCCTCCTGGTACCGACTGCTGCTTCCCTCGTCTTTGGGATGGAGGTGAGGCAGGACACATCTTACTTCTGGTGTCTAACGAATTCTTTTGCTTTCAGTTTTGTGGTCACCACCTAGTGTGAGGAACACGGTTTGAGCTAGGCTTGTGCTATATGAAGAGCAGAAATGCCGTTGTTTGGAGCTCCTCAGTTCTCTCTTACAGCATGAAGTTTTGTGGGTATATGGTCAGCTTTCCAGTATCCAGATCAGTGGTGTTGAACTTGTTTTAGGAAGCATTCAATGGCTTTCGTTCATGTAGCCTCTGTTGGTGTCATTTTAGGTCCAGAAAAGATTCATTTCTATCTAGTTAGGATTTTGGTTTAACCATTCCCAATTCTGGAGGTAATGCTTGATGAGGAGCACGGAGTTGACAAACCTGTCAGTCTTAGCATAGCTCTGCATAACGCAGGATGTACTTTGCTCATACGCGTTGGCATCACACACAGAGATATGTCGGGGCCTCCTGTGAATGAAGACCAAAGAGCTGCATGTGGCTGTGTGCACTGAGCATCTCACTCAATGCTATCTTCCCAAAAAGGCTTTGTTAACAGACACCCACTCGCTCCTGCTTATTCTCACCGTGCTCTCGAAAAAACAATCAGTATAAAACCCCATTGCCTCCTTCTAAGATGGATGACTAATGAGCTGTAATTGCTCCCCAACCCTACAGGAGGCTGACTTCATGAGGAGTTAAGGATTATCTAGCTCTATGTCCCTGGGAGGTTATTATTCCAGGAAATTAATTTAATTAGATTAGACCTATTAGAAATATAGAGAGAGCACTGAAGATTGGCAGGGCAGAGCAATGTGCTTTTTAAAAAAACTGTAAAGACTGCAAGTAAAAGGGGGTAATTTTACATTATCAGAATTACTTCCATTTCCTGTGGAGCTTTATTGTTCTGAAAATAACACTCTGTTGGACCTTAGGGCAAACAGCTCCATCCACCTCCATGCAAGAGGTGGTTTCATGCACGCAGTGACCCTGGCTGCATTTCCCCTCGGTTGTATTTGGCCTGTGTTGTTTGCTACTTCATTGTGCAAAGCCTGACTGCACCTTTAGATGGCCGTGTTGCAGTAAGGCAGCTTGTTGCGGTGTTAGATGGTGAATTTAGTGGCAGGAGCAGCACTGTTCTCCCAGGCCGTGCTCAGTGAGCGAGCCTTGGCAGTGACACAGCAGTGTTACAGATGGTTGTTAGCCCTGCCCTGGCCTCGCAGCCTGGTGCTGTGTGTCTGCTGTGGACCAGCACTGTCCTGCCCAGACCGCAGCACCTTGAGAACCGCTGCTCTCCTGAGGCAGCTCTGCCCTGTTTGCTGGCTGTAAAACAAGAACTATTTTCTGCTTGTGGATGGAAAAGCGATTGTGCCACACAGCACAGGTGTGTGCTGCTGCTGTAGTGCTTGCTGGCCAGAGATGTGCTGCTGTGGCAGATCCCTGCCCATCCCCAGCTGGGGGGCGTGTTGGGTGGGGGGCACGTCCCAGGACAGGACGTGGGAGCAGCTCTGGGTGCCCACAGGATGTTTGGCTGTGCTGACAGAGGAGTGCGGTGCTTCTGCTCCTCCATGAGGAGTGTTGGGAAAATAGTGAAAAATATTATCCGTAATTATTTTTAAAGCATATGTATCTGTGACATAGCGTATGTTCCCGAGGGAAAATGTTCAACCAAACACCAAGAAACGCTGCTGCTTGGGAATTGCCCATTGATGCTGAGCACTGAATCTGCTCTCTGATGGAGGGCACGCTGCCTGCAGGAGCCCCAGCACATCCTGCAGCCCTGGGCACCCACCTGCAGTGCAGGCAACTCGTGCCACTTGCATTGTGAGGGCTGCAGGGCTG